TGCGGGAGGGGGAACCGCCAGCCGGAGCCCCCCCGGGGAGGAGCCTCTATTCCCCCGTCCCCGGCAAACTGGCGAAGTCCAGGACGCGGCTTACCAGAATTGGCACCCAGTAGTAGTTGAGGGTTGGGGCCGTGTCCTCAACCAGCTTGATTCGCTGGGTGAAAAAGAAGAAGGCCAGGACCCCTAGGGAGGAAAACAAGGAAAATAACAGGGCTGCTCAGGAAAGCGGACGGAAGGAGATGGGAGGGATAGGAATGCAGGGACGGAGGTGTCCAACGAAGCCGGGGCGACGCAGTGGGAGGTTCTGGGGAGGCTGCGCCTGGACCGCTCACCGACGCTGCCCACGATGAGCAGTTTGCCCAGGAACAAGAGGAAATCCGTGACTTTATCCAGAACGGCCACCCTGGAAAGCAAAGGGAGATGAGCTCTGGGGTCAGCAAGCGGCATGGGAGGAAGAGGAGGAGGAAGCAGCAGCCGAGCCTCACCTGATGATGTTCCGCATGAGCAGGAAGAAGGCGTTCCGGGCGGACGTGCAGAAGTTGGTGCCGTAGACGGCGATCTGCAGGGATGGAGAAGAAGGAGCAGGGAGGAGAGGCAGATCCCACCTGAGAAGGTCCGAGCCGAAGCCACAGGGCCAAGGACAAGATTTTCCAGGGAATGTTTCACCCCCAGGCGAAACCGAGACCCCCCCGCCGTGGGTAACATTCCGGGTGCGCCGGGCCCGCAGGATCGTACCATGATGTACGCGTTTCTGTTGAGGAACTTGATGAATTTCTCCAGGCACCAGAAGCAGCACTTGAGGCAGCCCAGGAAGAACTTGGCGACCTTGTTTTCTGCGGCTGGGTGACAAACACCGCGGGCGCCGGTGAGGGGACACAGTGCAGGAATCCCCGGCCACTTCCCCATGCGTATTCCCAAGCCAGCCCCGTTCCCAAGCTCCCGGAAAAAGCCCCATGCTCTTCTGCAGCACCGCGTAGCTGCAGCAAGACTTGGTGGCACTTCCATGGAATCTGTTAGTCACCAAGCCGGAACCTTTGAGCTTTTCCCTGGAAAACTCTTGGAGGAGATGACCAGGCAAGGGGGAATATCCCTCCCTGAACACTGAACTGACTCCCCCGGATTAGCCGCTCGATGCCTCTGGAATACGGGAGAGCGGCTCCGCAACCCGCTCCGCTTTAGGCACCTTTCAGCCGGTGGTCCAGATACTCCAGCATGACCCGGATCACTTGGACGATGGCGAGGATGAGGGATCCGAAGGCCAGCGAGCCGGTGTGGTACCTGCCCCGCAGAGACCGCCCGCGTCAGCATCGGAAAACACCCCCTATCCGCAACGCCGGCTCTCCGGAGCCGCCTACCTGAGCGCCCGTCCGAAGGCGGAGAAGAGCGGGAACGCCGGGATGTCATCGGGCTTCTTGAAGGCCCAGTAGTAGGAGGCGAAGGCGCCGGCGAGCGTCACCTGGCCCAGCGCGATGACAAAGTTGACCAGCCAGAAGAGCATGAAGATGTTGAAGAACTGGAGGGCGATGAGGTACTTGTGGTAGGCGCTCTCGCCGCCGTAGAACGCGAAGAGGCACTGGGCGTCCGGGCACGCCTTGGTCACGTTGCTCGTGTTGAACGTCTGCGGGGAGAGGCGCTCAGGGCCGCGGGCAGGATTTTCCGAGCCCGGAGCCTCGCGTTTCCGGAATGTCAGGTCGGCTCCCGCTTTGGGACGCAACGCTTGGCTCAGCAGGCGCCGGGTGGGGCGAAACGCGGAGCGCGCGGCAGCCCCGGGGGAAACCGTGGACCAGGCGGCCTCGGCAGAGGGAGCGCCGCTTCCCGGGAGCCCTTCCTCACCTCGGGCATGCAGGTCTGCCCGGAATACGGGCATGCCGTCTCGTTGAACACCTTGTAGACGGCCTCGTTGGAGGTCGCCAAGAAGCTAGGGAATGGCAGTTAAGGAGATGCCGTCTGGGGAGAAAAACGGAGTGGGAGCTGCCGACGCTGCCTTTCTGGGACAGCTTTTTTCCCCGTTGTTTCCTTGTGTTTAAGCAGCTGTGGAAGCCGGAGTGTCCCGGAGTGGGAATGGCCCCGGATGAGGGTGTGTGGGGAGGATACACGGCGGTGCTGGCCCAGTACGCGATGCAGAGGCACAGCAGGAAGAAGGTGCAGAGAGGGAAGAGCAGGGATGTCATGATGTGACCGATGGCCCTGCGGGGAAGCGGGAGAGCGTGAGCGCTCCGGGAAGCGCTCCGGGAAGCGCACGGCCGCTCCGAGCGCCCCGGCACCTGCTGGCCTCCTTGATGAGCGCGATGGCGATGAGGATGCGCTTGCGGAGGAAGATGAGCAGCAGCACGATCAGCAGCTCCACGACGCACAGGATGATCACTGCAGGAGAGCAGGGGACATCCCGGTGGCGCCGCCGGAAAAGCCACCACGTGGATCCTCCTCGCTGGGGACAGGGCCACCGGGGACTTACTGAAGGCCAGCCAGGTCTGCCGCAGGTGCAGGTAGACGCGGAGATCCGTCTGGAAGCCCAGGTCCGTCAGGGAGACGTCGGAGCCGGCCTCCCCCTTCAGCTTGGCGTATTCCAGGTAGCAGTGGAAGATCCCTGCGGAGAGCGGCCGCGTTGGCGCCGGGCGGCGCGCGCCGGAGGGGCCGCCCGCGCGCTCCGGGGCCGCCGCTCACCGTAGGCCAGCACCAGGATCACCAGGACGATCATCACCCAGACCATGATGCCGGCCAGGTAGCGCAGCAGCACGATGAAGAGCAGGCTGGCCAGCATGGCGATCACGAGGCCTCTGCGGAGCGGAACGGGGCGGAATGCCGCAGGGAATCCCAATGGAATCCCTCCCCGTGGGGACCGGAGCCGGCTTCCTCCTCTGCTCCCTCACGGCTCCTCCCTCCCAAAATGAGGAGAAGGAGGAAAAGGGGAATCCGGACCCCCTCCGAGCCACCCCGAACCGTCACGGCTTGTCGGCACATTCCGGTGGCTTCTGCTCACATGATTATCCAGTACCAGGAGACCGTGTAGTCCTCGAAGATCTTCATGGCCAGCTGCCTCGCTTCCAGGACCACGTTGGCTTTCCTGGCGCGGGAACGGGAAGCAATCCCAGGATAAAGCGGAGCACAAGGCCAAACCGGGAACTGTCCGAGCAAGGAAGCAGCGCCCGGCACCCGGTTTTCCCGGTTTTCCCCACTCACTTGGCCCCTTCCAGCAGCTCCGTGACGTTCCGGCGCTGCCCGGTGCCGTCGTCGTAGGTCGTCTCGTTGCCCACCATGATGACGCCCTGCTTGGACTGCACAGCGGGCAGGCACCGGCGAGCCACTGCGCCGCATGGATAAGGAATGTTGGCCGCGCGGATGCGGAACCCGGAGCGCTCCAGCGCAGAGCCAGCATGGAGGAGCCCCTGGTTGGGAGCCCATCGGACAGGGAGAAAAGGGGAATCCGGCCCAATGGGCTGCCCCGGGAAGGAGCTGCCTCCAGCTGGGATTCTGCTTCCCGCCCCGGCTTCCCTACTCCGACAGAACACCGCGACCTACGTGGCGTGCTGGGAATGAGCATGGCTGGACACTCCTTGTTCTTCACTCTGGAAAAGGGAGGGGAGCAGCCGGCATGAGGATGGATCCTCAGCCAGGGGCGATTCCGGTGTCGGGCTCCCAGCGCTCACCTGGAGCGAGTAGCTGAATCCCGGCACGCAGAAGTCCTGGTAATATTCCATGTCGCTGGAGCCATAGGCGGTAGGGTGAGGAGGCGATCCGGGCATTGGCTCACGCAGATCTGGAAGCGGCCTCAGGAGCAGAGTGGGAGCGAGGCCGCCAACCCCCCGCCCCATCCCACTTCCAGGAGCCACCTCCGCGTGGGAACAACGGGTTCCCTCCTCATCCCTCTTCCCTCCTCTCCCACTTCTCCCCTCTTCCCGCTTCCCTCTTTGCCCCATTTCCGTCCTCTCCCGCTTCCCTCCTCTTCCTGCTGTCCTCCTTGTCCCGCTTCCTTCCTTCCCACTTCCCTTTGTTTTTCCCTTCCCAAATGCACGGGGAGCCGCTTGGACTTGCACTGAAAACAAAGCGCTCGCAACACCAGGAGCGCATCCGGGATCCCCGCAGAGCCGGATACCTGCGTGGTCGGACACTGGAATTCCAGCAGCACCAATGGGCTGGCACACTTGACGATGTCAAAGTAGAAGAGGAAGGGCTTGTTCCTACGGATGGACGAACACGCGGATGCGTCAGCGGGATCCCGCCGAGCCAGGGCTCGCCCCCGGCGGCGGATGGGTGGCTTACCCAGCCGTTTTCCCAGCGCTCCCATTGCCGGAGACACGTACGCATTGGAAGTTCCCTGCTGGCCACAGAACTGGCCCCGGCTGTCCGTGGGGTAAATCACCTTCCGTGGGTCTCCATGCGTCCAGGCTGGGAGCAGAAAACACCGGCTTGGATCGCGGCTCCCGATATCCGCTCCCAATCCA